CCCCAAAACCCCAAAACCCCAAAACCCCAAAACCCCAAGTAGATATAATTTTATTGAAAATCCCTCTATGAAATAATTTCAATGAATCTCGATTTTGGGTGCTCTGAAACATCAATATATCTAGAACGAGACGTGCATTCATGAGGATCTAGCTGATCGTTGTACTTTACAAATCTGAGTCTTGAGCTCTTCTTGAGGAAGGCATCAAGCATGTCGAAGTAGCCCTCCATATATAGTTTCTTACCAGCTTTATTAGACAGGAATTCTCCTACTCCACTGACTCCATGGTACATTCCGATGAAAATATCCAAATGTTTTAAGTTCGGCAGACTAAATGTAAAAGAATTGCTTACTTCCCTTCTGATAAGAATGGAATGATTCCTTCATGGAACGACACTATTGCTGTGTTTCCAGTCAAAAGTTTGACCATGAGAGTGTCAATAAGTTTGAACTTGCCAAATTTGTCAGTGAATTTATGGAAGTTGATTGGAGAATCAAATATCTCTAACTCTGACATTACTCTGTAGTTTTCATCTAAAAATTAGCATAAGAAGAGTAAGAGGAGCATCAATGTTGATGTATAAAGAGTAGTAAAGCCAAATTGACAGTAATTGTTTTTGAATGCTTATTAAAATAAAAAAAATTAATGGCTTAAAGCTTAGAAAATAAGCAAATTTATCTACTCTAAATTTTGACAAATCATCGCTGTAAAGGCTAATGAAAGCTTAGATGGATTTTGAGAGAATAAGGAGTGTGCTACACTTACCAGAAACAATTTCAGTCACAAGTGGGTGACATTTTACCAACCTCAAAGACTTTATGTGGCAGAATGGCTGCAGATCTTCAGAATATGACCCTTCATTGAATTTAAATATCTGAAGTCTGCACTTAGTCTTTGGATTCGACGAAGCGAAGGTTTCTGTCAGCTTAGCCATAGATGCTGTGAAGTTGATCATAGAAGCTTACCTTGTGAAGTAATGTCAGATCCGTCAAGTACCATATCAACTGAATGAACATGCTTGAGTTTAACTTCGATAAATAATTCATCACCAGATCCTTCATAATTCTTTTGCTTATTGATAGAACTAATCTTGGTATTGAATTCAAATAACAAATCTGGTTTGAACATGATAGTATTAGATAATGTTGTGAAGATTTTACTTGCTACAAACCTAGCATGCTTCTCTAGGCTTACAGTTATTCTTTCTCCTTTAGTGACAATCTCAAATTCCTGATCGACAGTAATAACATTGAAGCTATCGAAGTTATCTGTTGATTGGAGGCCAACAAACTTAGCTTCGATATCATCAAAATAATGCAATGGCTGCTTTCTCATAATCTCTGAAAATTTCTCGTTCACGATAACTCCTCTTGTAAAACTTGGAAGATGGCCAGAGATTTTTTTGCAGCCTTTAGAGTATAACTCTTTGATCAATGAGTCATTTTTAAACTTTGAAGTTACCAACACCTCTCTGAGTGATTCAAAGTGCTGCTCACTATTTCATATATCTTTAAAGAGTTGAACATAGTCATACTCTCCATGCAAATGAAAGTACTTAAGGTATTGCTGGAACTTGGCATTCATGCAAAAATTCTCCTCAATGTCCTCAAGAGGTTCACAACAGTCTAAAATAATGATCCTAGAGGATTCATGATTCTCGTTTCAGAGGAAAGATTCTAAAGAGAAGAACAAATCTGAATTTTTGTCGTGTTTTGGCTTAATTTCAACAATATCAATTTCAGGGTTATATGAAGTATTACTGTGAGAAAGATAGTGATTGATCATAAATATATTAAACACTTGTTCATCATCCATGTCTGATCTTCTATTTCCCATAACTTCTGTACTGTTGATCTGCTTTATTGTTGGAATGAATCGATATGGAATCTGGAATGTGGTTGGAGAAACCACTTGGAGATTATTATAAACAGCCTCCTGTGCTCTGAGAGTCACATTATGAACTTTATCAATATGGATATAATCTTCAGAAACATAAGATAGTTTATTGGGATTCTTCCCTTGGGTAACTGCTAGTTTATATTTTCTCTCATCCTGTTCCTTTATTGCTTTCAAATCCAACAGAAGATCATTCAAATGGGTCAATGAAGCAAATGAACGAAGCTCCAAATCAAATTTAAACATGTTGATACAGTTAAGTTTCAACTCAGATTCCAATATGAAGCTATTCTTATTTCTAATATAGATTGTCTTCTTCTCAGTGCATAGGTTTAGCATATTTTTGTACTTCTGGATAGATTCGGCTGTCATTTTGCAAAGAATCCTGCAGAGAAAATACGCCTCATCATGATATCCATAATAACTCATTATGGTCACAAAGCTGCCAAGCTTAGACAAAAGCTGATGCACTGGCTTAGTCGGGGGTTGGGACTGCTCCATTTTGATTGAATAATTACACAAATTTGTTATAAGATTTCCTTATTTATCATGACTGGGGTTTTGGGGTTTTGGGGTTTTGGGGTTTTGGGG